TTTCCTTCTTTTTTTTTTTTTTGTTGGGTTTTTTTTTTTGGTTGGTGGTTTGTTTTGTTTTTTTTTGCATGCATTGTTTTTTTTCTGTTTTGGTGCTATGTTTATATATTATGCTTGAAATTTTAATTTTTTGCACTGTAACTATAATACCTCTTAATTTACCTTTTAAAAAAGCTGTGGGTCTTGTATTCCCACCAGTATCAGTAGAGGTTTGCTGCAATTTTGCCCTGTTAATTATGCTTGAAGTTTGAGAAAGCAGAGCAAGGTGTTTTAACGTTTTCCAGCACAATAGTTTGAACTTGATGCTGTGTCTTATGTATTAAATTACAAATAAATACTGTATTTCCTGCTTTTAAACCCTATTCCTTTCCTCACAAATGCACACTAAAACAAAACAAAAACTGTCAGCTCTTGCTTTCTTAACAAAAGATAAAATAAATGCCTTAGTGACAAGGGGTAGACATTAAGCTTTTCTGAAATACAGTTTTCAAAAGTTCATGTATTTTCTGTCTCAGTCATTTTTCTTTCTGCAGAAAGGACCATTCTTGTATTTGAAAGCAGCATCGTTATAGTAGTCAGAACAAGAATTAAAATACTAGCTTATAAAAAATTCTAGCATTTGTTTGGTACTTCAGTCATGAAAATATAACAGGGACGTTGTAAGACCTGCAAGTCTTGATATGTGTGAAACAAGTGTAAATGAGATGGAATAGTAAAAACACACAGTCTGAATTTTCAAAGGTAAATTGTTTTGAGTTAGCTGGAGGGCTTGGGTTTTTTGTTTTGCTTTGTTTTTTAAAAAGATCACTGATTTAAGTTACAGCTCTTTTTTCCATGGTAGGAGTGAAGGTTTCTAGCAAAGATACATGCTAACTAATGTTAACAATTCTGTGTTTCTGGCCAGACACCAATCAGCAGATGAAATCAGACCATCTAGAAAGTCTTAAGTAGTTTTAACTGCATTATGAAAAACTAAAGTTTAAGTTAGTCTTTGAATGCCTAAAATTTCTTGCTGATTATTACAAGGTTATAGATTCTCAGGGGTTTCAGGTAATTGCTAGCAGTAAAGTGCTACAGAGTGTTTTGATGCAAAGAAAATTAACTGAACTTGTTCTGTGTTTCAGAATAGTTTAATGTTCGCTTTGTTACTAGATAAAGCCTATGAATTGGAAATCTGAAATGTGTAGTGGCTGACTATAAAGTAGTTTCTGCTGCTGATGCGTTTTTAAATGCGTTTTTAAATGCCGTAATCTTTTCCAGTGTGACCTCATTGAAATATTTTTTATCCTTTGAGATAGAATATTCATATTAGTTTCCATGTTATACATCTGTGTGTTTTACCCTACAGTTGATATGATTTTGATATTGGACATTGTATGCTATTAAAGACCTAAATCTGATCATTTGAAGGTTGGGATAGAAATCACTTGACATGCTGTAAGCACAAGTGTAAGTGGACTGTTGTAACCCATCTTCAAAAGCAACCACACAGGCTTGTCACAAATAGTGTGGGGGTTAGTTGGCATGAACCTTGTTTGTTTTGTTTTGTTTTGTTTTTTTTAATCTAAGTCCTGTTATACTGTACTTTAAACAGTCCTCCTAACTATGCTGCGTTTTTATTTTTATGGCTTTTTTTTTGCGCTGTTCTGTTCATGTAGCACAAATAAGCATTGCACTTGGTACCATGCTTTACCTCATTTCAAGGAAAAAATGCTTAACAGAGAGGAAAAATGTGGTTTGGCCTTGCTGCTGTTGTGATTTACTGAATTTGAAAAAGATAATTATAATGCCTGCAATGTGTCATTTACTTGCACAACTGAGATAGGTCATTTGTAGTGTCTGTGGCATTTTTACTGTATGTGGAAAAATACAACAAAGATGTGTAACAACTCTTGATTGTATTTTAAAGCTATTGTCTTTCTACTACATCATTTTACTGTTATGTGAAGTAATTAAAATTAGAATGACCTCTGACACTCCAGTAATTATCTCTGAACAAACCAACACATTATGCATATAATGTAGTTTTTGCGAGTAGACGGCCCCTAGTAATTTGGTCAACCTCAACTAAATCTCTGCTCAGTCTGAATATTGAGTGACCAGTAGTGACTTCTGAAGTGTTTGTTCAGCTTGATGCTGCTAAAGTCCATACAGAAAAAAAGCCTACTATTTTTAAGTCTCATTACACAATATTATGTTGTGACTGCAGAGTACCGAACTTGGACAAGAACCAGTTTCCCTGCTGGGGAGGAATATAGTGGTGTCCCAGGGATAAGGTGCCAGATCCTCAGCTAGTGCAAATTGACGTGGTATCGTTTTAATCAATGGAACTGCATTCTTTTACATATCTGAAGATATTGTGTTTATATGTATGTTGCAGAATTTGGGGTTTTCTCCTTGTAAGGAAATAGAGAACTATAAACTGGAAATGATGGGTTTTTATGTTACTGCATATGACTTAGCTACGCTACATGCATTCGTCTGTGTAGAAGGTGAGATCTTTGTATCCCAGTCACAGCAGCACACGTAATCTGAAAATGAGGAGTAGCATCGTGGTCTGCTGTGATACTGCACTTGCCTCTCTCTGACAGTATTCTGGGTTTGTATGTTCTGGGTGGGGATCCCTACAAAAACATTCTCATGGAAATATCTCTATTTATTACACGAGTGAAGCAAGAAGGGTTTTAATTTTTGGTACTTACTGACATTGATCCTTTTCCAATTGCTTTAATTTTCAAGAAGTTGATTTCTTTATGTTCATATTGGGTTTAAAACTTAAAACACTACATTTCGTGACCATGAAATGTAATCTAAATGTCAATTGCAACTCCATCCCGATTCTGTTAGCTAATATCTAGAGGTCGTAGTATACTCCACTAGCAGTTAAAATTAACTTCTGTCAAAGCTGACTTACACTTTTAAGAAATAAATTTTATCCAATAAAGCCCTTGGATTTTTTTCCTCTTTTATTTGAATGGCGACCACAGACTACTTTGATTGCTTTGTAGATGCACTCAGAATTTACTGCAGCAGCAAGTTGGAGAGAAAAATGTTTGTGAACAAGAATTGGAAATTGCAGGCATTTTTATTGTAAATAGTTTGGCTGAGAAGATGGTTAAAATCAAGTAGAATGAATAACATATAATTTGATGGACAATAAAATACTTACCATCACATGCTGCAGCTGTCTTTAAGGGACATAAAATGTAATTCATTCATACTGTAATCATGCTGCAGAAGTTTGCAATCTGCACCTTATGGATCACAATTACCTTTAATAGTTTTTTGTAATAATTGTAGCTGAGTATATCTCCAATAAAGTTATGGTCTGTTCACCTTGTATTGTCTTTTTGATTTTGTTTTTTAGTTCCTCTTAATCTTTCCATAAATCTTCTAGAGTTCACGAAAAAATACTTTTCAGTCTCCGTCTAAAAATAAAAAATACAATTTGTGAAAACTTTATTTCTTGACCTTGTTTAAAGACAAGTCTGCTTGTCTCCTTCCTCTGATGAATGAACTGTCTTCATAGCTATGTGAAGACTCTTAAGGGACACTCGGGTTAGAATGATGGTGTACACACTACAATTGGATCTCTGTGTTGACCATTATACCTGCAAAATTTCTGTTGGAGCTGGGAGGCCCCAGAGCACAAGGGTTCAGTAACAGGTTTGTGCAATTCAGCACATGTTTTAAGAATAGCATGTTAATATTAGCTAATAGTCTCAACATTAGTAACATTGACTTTAATTATTTTTTTCCATTTGTTTTCCATTAATATTTCACCCTGAATACAGAAAGCACGTTTGTACAGCGTTCTGACTGGCACACCAGTGTCATGCCTACGTTTTGCAGAGACGAGACAGACT